CCAAATATTCCAAAGATATTTATGTTTATTGTTTTAAATTGAAATTGAAAAATTGCATTAGATAGATACAATGTTTGTATTTTAGTGATTCCAGAGTTTAGCTCCAATATATGTACCTTAAAATATAAGTATCTGTGATCAAATTTTATGGAAATTTTAATCCTTATTACCTTAAATACTCCTTCTCCAGCAGAAGTTGAAACCTGAACTATTTCCCATGCTATGCTCAGGTATAAATTTTGTTTCTAAGAAGCAAAGGAAGTTCATTACCACCAGTAATCAGTTTAACTTTGAGAAGCAAGGGAAGTTTGCTTAAAGAGATAGAATTAAAAAAATTACTTTCTGATGAATTATTTAAAAATACTAAACCAACATTTGATAATATTCCTATTTTCAAAATAAATCTGCCAAAACAAAATCATAATGACTATGTGCTCATTATAATTTACCTCATTATAATTTATAATACTCCTACATAGAATAAAATCATCAATTTCAGGGGGGCAAACATGATTGCTATAAGCTCCAGAAATGTGTAATTTGTAAGAAAACTGTATTCCCATGAAATCAAAACACCTGTATCTCTTACCAAATTTTGAACTGTTTAAATATCATACTTTATTATCTGCTTTCTAACTGAGCAAGAATAATGAAGCTCAAAGGATGACAAAATTAGGTTTTATGATATAATAAAGTATGTATTATCATTGTTCTTTTTTCAATAAGGAATACTTTCAATTGTACAGTGAAGCAAACAACTTAAAATTATTCAGAGGTCAAGCAGATAAGCTTTTATTCCTTGGTTTGTGAAATATTCCACTTGAAAATCCAGACAGAATACTATATTTCTTCTTCAGTTTTCAACATTTTTAGCAGAGAATTGTTAAGTTTTCATCATTAAGGATAAACCAGAGGAAAATTTAACTTCTTATTTACTATGGCCATTCAATGTCTTGTAACATAGAGCATGGCTTTGCATGAAAACTTTGGATTTTGATTCAATTTACAGTGAAACTTGGTAAAATCATAAAGCCTTACCTCATCAACCAACAATAATTTGTATGTATCTTGAAAAATGAAAGCCCAGATTAACTGTATGTTTGAACTAGGAAACAGTATATATAATAGTAAAATGACAACAAATATGCTCCATTATATCAGCAAACATCTGCAAAGATGGAATGCAGACTACCATTCACAGACACAAATGACTGAGAAAGCATGTCAGCCAATGGTTAACTGCGATAATATTAAATCTTTATTTTCTATTATTATAGTTTCTCTTCCTTCCCCAACAGGAAGTCCTTTCTATCAACTGTATTATCACAGATTTAATCCAGTTTTAATACCTGATTCCAATGACACCTGATAAACAGAAGGGAAAAACCACATAGCTCTCATGGTTAGTAAAAGATATCAGCAAAAGATAATCTGGTCAACCTTGATCTGATGGAAATAAAAATGATAGATGAATTCAATTTAAAGGGTGAAATAAAAGCATTTATAATTCACTCCTCTGCTATGAAATCCCTCCAAAAATAGCATAATAATGAAAAATTGGGAAGAAAAATGAAAACCATACCTGTAATTACAAGTAATTGACCATAAACTATAATAAATAGCTTTCAAATGAAGAGACATTTGCACTAACAGGAGAAAGAATGTTGACTGGCACACATATCCTGATAGGATATAGATCTTACTGAGTGTTAGAGTCCTGAGATGTCCTCCAAAGACTGAAGCCACCATGACATGGAGTACGAAAAGGTAAGAGAAAAGCATAGGTTTCCAGTTATTTATTCCCAAATGGTAGAATATGGGGGTAAAGAGAAAATTGCCAGTGGACTCTACTTGATAGCTGTGAAACAGCCTGCTGGATGATATGGATTACTGGCATTACAGTGGGAAAGTTGGAGAAGTGGCAATAACCATTAAAGCACTAACAATGCAGAGAAAGTAAAACTGAGCGTTCTACACTGTGAGCCAAATAGACCACCCAGATGTCAACAACAGAGAAATAATATGGTCCCTGGGCAGAAGATAAAACAGATTTGGGGAGGTGGGCTTGAAACCTGAAATTTAAATAGCTGCTGTGGGCTGATCTGATTCATTCTCCCATCACTTCCCACACTATAGTTCAGTAAATAGCTGGCTTCATTCAGTGATTAATAGAAAGAAACCAGCCTGGAACATAGGCAAAGGACAAAAACACGATGGAAAAGCAGATGAAGTTCATACCAGGGAAAAAATTTTTTTCAGGAAACAGAGGAAGAATTTTTATAAATAGCTCTCTGTAGTCTCAAATAAATTATAGACATGATCTCATTAAGAGAGTGAGAAGCTCAAAGAAGAGATATTTGAATGAAGAGATTATAAAAACAAGCAGAAAGAAATGAAAAATTGAAGTCGCACAGACCAAGAAAGCAAGGGAAAAGAAGAAACCCATTATGAAGATGAAAATTATTTTAGAGGTTACAAAACAGAGTAAACACAACTGAAAACTCACTTGGGTTATGGCTGACAAAAGTTGACAACAAGTTTAAAAACATAAAAGTGATTGTAGAGAATACTATAAGGAGATATGGAAACAAAAGAACATTCTGGAGAAAATCATTTAGACACATAATAGGAAAAAAATAATTCCTGAAATAAAGACTGAAATCTGGGATAAAAAGACATGGTGTCCATCACATCTTCTGCTTTGATTAAACACTATAAAAATTTCAATAATTTCTTAAGTTTTACCCTTATATTTTTATCTTAAATTTAGACAAAGGTAAATTTAATGCTTTAAAATTATTTAACAGCATTCATATATGGCATATTTGACTCCTAAATTTACAAAATTCTGTCTTTTAATCAATCAGTCTGCTTTTCAAAACAAACATCTATACAAAAGTATCTGGCATGATACTCATGAAATATTAACAATTTCTCCATGGTGGGATTTTGAGACTGTTCGTAATTTTCTGCAATACCTATCTTTATTTTTAACAATCTCATAGCATTTTTACAAATGACAATGAAGTCACTGGGATTAAAAAAAGAATTAGAAGGCAAAGATTAATTGAGAGAGAAAAGAAAAATCAGACATCTCTATTTTTGTACTACCTCTAGATTCATGGCCCTCCATTCCATAGCTCATACAGCAATCCAATGATTTCTCTAAAACAGAAGCACAGCATGTTCATTTTCATCTTATTATCCTGCAAGATTTTCAATAAATTGCCACTAATCCAGGATCACGTCTAATCTCTTAGGTAATTTACACAAAACTCTCTCTAATCCACCCCAGCAGGTCTTTCCAACATTAGCAACTCTCACTTCCCACGTTCACCTTCCCTCCCAATACCTTGAACTATTTTTAGTAAGAGTTCCCCTTGAAGCTCCGAATTTATATCTCTTTTCAAGCTTCAGATGGCGGTACAAATGTGCTTTTGTTGCTTGTGGGAGTAGGCAGAGAGGCAAGAACTGCCAGTCATTCTACAAAATTCAGTTAATATCTCTGTGGCGCCTTCCCTGCCATCACTCTTTTTTCTCCACATCAACAGTCATAAAATTACATGCATCCTTTTTCTCCACCATCTATACCAATGCCATGCCAAGTAATATTAGAGCCTGATGCAAAAGGAAAAATTATTAATACTGATCCCATATTTATTTAAAATTCGGGTATTTTGTTCCTCATCAATTTTTGCATAAATTTTGATTTTTTTAAATGATTGAAAAATGGCCTTTCAAAGTTCACTCCAGCTCGGTGCTTTTATCCTTGTCACTAACTTCTCTATGATTCATGTCCATCTGTGAAAAAGGGTGACTCTACTCTCTGCCGACTTGATTTCAAGATTTGTGAGGTCCAATTTAAAGTACACATTGTTCAAATGCTCTGTATATACACAAATGCAAGTCATTTTCAACTGTGGATTAATCATGTAAATATATTATCATCCCTAGTCATGCCTGGAGGAAACTAGAAGTTATGATGTAGCAGTTAGTGGCCAACTTGGAGTTGAAAACTAGAATATAGATCCTAGTACTAAAGAAAACAATTCTGAATTTCATCTTTAAAAGATAGAGACATACATGGGCTTCCTTGGTGGCGCAGTGGTTGACAGTCCGCCTGCTGACGCAGGGGACACGGGTTCGTGCCCCGGTCCGGGAAGATCCCACATGCCGCGAAGCGGCTGGGCCCGTGAGCCATGGCCGCTGAGCCTGCGCGTCCGGAGCCTGTGCTCCGCAACGGGAGAGGCCACAGCAGTGAGAGGCCCGCGTACCACAAAAAAAAAAAAAAAAAAAAAAAAAAAAGATAGAGACATACAAAGGTATCATTCTCAGCCATTCTTCTTCACAAATTGCCAGGGTTTAGGCTCTAATACTGACTCTTGTGACGTTTTCTCATAGTGAAAAGTGACTGGTTCTTCACAAAAGTGTTCCATTTAATGCAGCTCTGAGTTATTGAAAAGATAGAAATGGTGCCCAAAATAAAAAATTTAGTTTTGAATTCATTTGATGGAATTGAGTTAAGGAAAACAAACTGTGCGTTTTTATTACTAACACTGTGTGCAATTGAAATAATTTCTTTTCATACGAATGATTAAACATACTGGTCAATTTATTCTTCCAATTAAGAATCCCTGGTTAAGTTTTGTCCTTTCTTTTTGTTTGGCCACCTGATTTATTTTAAAATCTTTTTCTAATACAAAGGTAAGGAAAAAACTGTGAATCCACCTGTATCACTGATCTACAAATCTAAAATCATTTATTTTTATCCCTTTAAAAAGCTGTAAAAATTTACAGGAGAAGAATTTCTTCTTAAAAAAGGAAGCCAATGAACTATTTCTTAAGAACAGGCTAACAGACAAGCAAGGAGTATATTCCTTACCAAAGAAATAAGGTCATTTTCTTGGAATAAAAAACAATCATAGCTTCCAACCACAATTTCAAACATTGTCCTCAAGGCTAGAAATCTACTCACATTCATGAAATAATTTATTATCAGCTTTTTTGTATAAGTACTCTTTATTAAATATATACATATATACAAATTTTACTGGGCTTCATATTACTGGCATCAATTTGTAAATGAGGGGTTTGGATTGGATGATTTCTAAAGTATTCTTCAGCCTTAAAATTACTGATGACTCTAAGAAATACCTAGAGACATAGCCAAGAAGGAATTCTCAGATATGACCCACAATTAATATTTGGCGTTTGCACACTTTTCAGGTCTCATATACAACCATTCCAAGGCAATGCAACAACTAAAAAACTAATGCCGATTAATTAATATCATTTCTTTTCTAAAAAAAAAGAGATCCTGTTTGCAAGGTGGCCATTTCCATCAAAATGTTCCCCAAACATCCAGAACACATTCATTCACATACCCCAGATCAGGAAGAGAGAAGTACAGAAGAAAAATCTTGGAAGTAACACAGTAAAACACTAGACCCAGATTTAGTGGCCTAGGACTGCTGCAAGAAATTCAATTAAGTTGTTAAGCCTACCTAATGAAAAAGAAAACTCAGCTCATGAAAATCCTGATAAATTGCATAACAGAGTCAGCAGTATTCTATGCCCCGGCTATAATTTTTTTTTTTCTTTACTCCAGTCCTTTGCTGTTCTTTTAAAATACTCACCTTCATTATGAAACTATACAAAAACTCCCCCCTCCAAAATAAACACAGAACTGCCCAGAAATACAAAACTATGGACACAAAAACTCCCTAGAAGCTTAGCATTTCACCAGTTGATATAGATCTATGTTGGAAAAAGCATCTAAAAAGCCTGTACTGGATTCCTAATTCTGATGATTCTGTGATTCTGATCAAATTATATTCTGATTCCGATCAAATTTGAGACAGGTAATCTATAAGGTCTTACAGTGCCCAGATTTCTACTTTGAGGTACACAGTGCTTTTCACTTAGAGAACAATCTGTACCACATTTTCATTATACTCTGAAGTCAACTGCTGAAGTTGTGCTAATGTGTACTAATCTCAAAAGTGGCTATATGAAGAATACGCTTGTTATCCTCTATCAATATAGGAGAAACAAATATTTTGAATATGTCATCGGACTCTAAATAAATTTCCTCCATTAAAGAATGCAGTGTCTGCTGCTAGTTGATGGTTCATTAGCATGCATTGACTGTTCTACTATTTGAGTTAACATTGCAGGTAAAGGTGAATAAGCTTATCTAGAGAGACAGTGTCTAGCATAGTGCCTGGAACGTGGTAGGCTCTGAGTAACTGTATGTTGAAAGAATACATAACTGAATGAACTATTATCAAAAGGAATTCATACAATAAGTTAAACTTTGGCTCAAAGCACAAATTTTCAAGTCAACTGTTAAGTCCTGTTTGGCCAACATGCAGGGAACACATTTTCCCTGGTCTCTGTCTTTGTTGCAGCAGAGGTTTCACTCTATTGGTCAGTATTTGTTGTGTTCCATTTTCCTTTTAAAAATGTCTCATTTAACAGGGAAAGTCCTTTTCTTGAAGATACTAAGAGGATCTCCAAAGGTCACCGCATATCATATCCGATAATTCTGATTAAGGGCAGTGCCACTGGGAAATTTAGGGTGGCTGGTTGATATTCATAGTGTGTATTAGAAAATGTCATAGTCTGTTTTCAAATTTCAATGCATAAATATGCACCATGGATCTCTAATAGCCCTATTTTTCTTGTCCCAACTTTCCAGGATGGTCTGCATCCTGTCTAATTTGAATGTTGAATTGATTCTATTTAAATCATCTTTCTGAAATGAAAGATGGCTCACTTTCCCTTCACTGAGGAATTAATTAACTCTCCCAATGACTGGTTTGAATTTTTTAAATGGAAAACTTACATGGAATTTTTATTTTAGTGAAGAACAACTGTTTATCTTTAAAAACATTTAAAAAGACATTGTGCATGAAGTTCATCATCTTTTAGGAAACTATTATAGCAACAAAATTACATGAGACTTTCTGATTTTTCCATAGTGTCCTTAGATAAGTAAACAACCCAATAGACCATATTAAAAGCCCCAAATGTTACTGGAAAGAGAATGCGGGCATATTTGTCTATTTTACTTGTGCCAGATCCAGAAGGTGGTGGAGCCGAGGGAGCAGTAGTGGCTGACAACTTCCCAGAAGCCCCTATGCTATTAACTGTGGTCTTAATTCGCTCCAGTCTTGATCCAAACACATGCTGGGTAGAAGCAGATCCAACTGGAACTTTGTGGGGCACGTACCCAGTTCTACTAGGTGGAGAAGGAGAAGCAGGTGGAATTGCTCTTGCGGCGGATATAGTTTCAGCTGCATTCGCATGGCTGAATGGGTTTGGACTGGAAGCTAAGTAAGACTGTGGTGTAGCTTCAGAAGATCCTTGAACAACCATGGAAGACTTGCTCGAATGGTTTCCCACCTCAGTTCTGTTGCCAACATCAGATTCAGAGTGAACCAAGGCATTGGCTCTTTTTCTCATGTTCAGATTGGCATTTGAATTCTGAAAAGGTATATTAAAAATTATATTGGCTGTGTAATTTTATGTAGAGTTATACAAAATTTAAATGGGTCAAATAGTTACAAATTAGCTGTTTTCATAAAATAAACCTTTATTAATATGCTACAGTCACTCAACTTGATGTAAAAGCTTAAAAATACCTAACTAAAAAAGGACATATATGTGAAACTCTGAATCAAACATCTGCTATTTCAAAATATTATCCATTCTTATAAATTATTAGAATTTAAATCTATAGAAAGGTTAGGCTTTTAGGACTATAAGCTAGAGTTATACTTGATTTGACTTTAAGAATTCATGATGATAGCTGTACAACTTCTTTGTTGAGTTTTATTGTAAATAATATTCTCTGATATGCTGTATACATTTCAGTGAGTTTTGTACATGTTTGCTTTATAAACAGGAAGAACTATATCTACTTTGGGCACAGAATAAAAACAATAATAACCATCCACATGTGTATAACATTCCTTAAAAAAAGACAGAAGCTCCAAAAGCTTTAATTTGCAAATCCATGGGAATTATTTTCATAATCTTACATAGACATTATTATATAAAGTCTAGAAATCCTCATGCATTTTAGTTTTTCACCATAGTTAGTAATGCAAATAAAAAGGAAAATCATTTTGGGGACTTCCCTGGCGGTCCAGTGGTTAAGACCCCATGCTTCCAATGCAGGGGGCGTGGGTTCAATCCCTGGTCAGGAACTAAGATCCCACATGCCGTGTGGCACAGCCGAAAAAAAGGAAAATCATTTTTAAATAAAATGTTGTATCATACATATAAACAGCATCACCATATCACTGCATAAATATCTGAGTTCAAACTATTTACCAATAAAGAGTGTTTAAATCAAAATGGAATTCACTATTTTCCATAAAATTATTTTATCTGTAGAACAAGACTGCATTTGAATACAGATGGTCAGTATTAAAATTAATTCTTATATTTTGACAGGCATGATAAATAACCTTATAGCCAACTATAGACTGTCCATACTAATGAAGGAAAGTAATTGCTCAAATGATTCCCAAAATAATCATGTCTGTCTTTAGAAGACACTATGATATTTTGCAACCATTTTTCCGCCTTAATTGTGTTTATTCTGAGTTATATTAAGGGTATATTGTAATTACTTTTTCTACCCTCTTCCCCCACCATTTTATGAAATAAATGGTGGGTGAGGAGATGGAGAAGTAGAGGAGAGAGAGAGGAAGAACAGCTCACAAGTGGGTGATTAAAAGGAGCCAGTCTGCAAGGCATTTTATGGATAATATTATATACAATTAACTGTAAGCTCCCTTACAGAGAAGTGTTTATCCTACAAGTAGAATCTTTTTTCAATACTACACTTATCAAGCAGGTTGAAAGTGTCCAATCCATATCTTATATACTTGTGAATTATGGCTTCAAGTTCCCTGAGTAGAGAAAGAAGAAAAAGCCTCACAACATGCAGAGTCAAAGCAGGTTCTGAGAGGTTTAGAACGTATTCTTCATGTCAGCCTGAAGTATTCATCTAAACAGTTTGCAGCTGAACTCATGAGAAATTGTAGTCGAAAATATGGCAGCCAATTTAGGTGGAGACAAGTGAAACCAAAATTGACATCCACCTAAAAGTTAAAGGTACCATTATTTACCCTCTACTTTTCCTCTACAAATCACATTGTAAACACCTAATTAATCCTCAGATTTTGAGTCCCTCTTTACAGAAAGGGATAATCAATTAATTAGAATTAATTCTAAAATGTTACACACATGGTGAAAAATATAAAGAAGGATAAGGTATATCCACAACATTTAAAGAGTTTACAATACCACTAGGAAGATAAAATGCACACCCACACGTGACACAATAAAAAATATACAAAAAGTAAAACAGAATGATGGGTCAAACTGTGGCAAAATGCTAAATATACCAAGAAGAGAAGGGAAGGGAGTAATAAAGGACCAACTGGATAAGCAGGAGAGCAATATATATTTTCAAATATAGTCTGATATTTGCATATTGCCCTCTTCCACCAAAAGTTGGGTTGCCCATAATCTTTAGAAAACTCGTATTTTCCCTCAGACTAAATTCTAAGAATTGGAGATTTCTACTTCTGGCCAAAATGGAGTAACAGGGACTGAATTTACTCTCCTGCACGAAATAACAAAAAAACTAAAAACATTTGCAAAACAACTGTTTTTGAAGACATTGGACATTAGACAACATAGGATACAATCATTGAGAGAGAAGAAAAAAACTTGAGTTTGCATACTGTAGAGCGGGAAAGGAGAATCCAGGAACGATCTGGCAGACTACCTAAATTGAGGAGATGAAGCTGAGAAGGTGAGGAAATCAAGGTGGCTGGAGTTCACAGGAAAAGGTACCAGAGAAGCTGATGCCGAAAAGAAAAGTCCAAAAAATCTGAAGAGTCCCCACTGAGAATTTTGCTAAGCACAGATCCATTTTTGAGTGTAAGTCCCCAAGGCAAAAAGAACCACCTGAAAGGATTAGAAGAAACGGTACCTAGCACATACCAAGCCAGGAATAGTGCATTTTCCCACCAGACATAATGGAAAATCTCAACATTCATGTAGCATTTGGTAAAGTCCTCGGAAGGGCCCTGCCTCAGTAATATGGAATAATTACCCCCTAAGACTGCTCCAATGCTGCCTAATGAATTTTAAAAGTAAGACCTTAACAGATGAAACTAACTCTAAGTGACTTAACTGTACCCCAGAAGGAAGCACAAGAACACTTAGAGGACCCCGTCTTCCTTCCCTCCAGATCAGAATCCTTCTGGAACATCCTGAAATCCCAACTGTGAATGATGTTCTAATATGGCTGATTGAATATAAATATGGCACCAATTTGTCCTCCCTCCCCATATTAATGCCCCTTGTAAAATGAATTTCCCCTTTTCCTCCCATCAAGAAATGGACTCTGTTTCCCCACAGACTTCCTATGACTTTCTTTGGCCAACTGGATGTGGTGGAAGTGGGGGTGAGTTATTTCTGAGTCTTAGCTTTATGAGTCCTTGCTTGCTTCCACTCTTTCTCAAAACACTGCCACCAAGACCACAAGAACAAGCTTGGGCTAGCCTGCTGGAGAGATCCTTTGGAGCAGAGCCAGTCATCCTAGTGAGGCTATCCTACATCACCCAACAGATAGCTGACCACTAGACACCTGTGTTTGTCCCAGCTCAGAAATGATGAACTGCTGAGCCAAGCCTAATCAAGATCAACAGAACTTCCCAGTTGACTCAGACTTGAAAACAAATGTTTTTTTTGGTAGTTGTTTTGTTATGCAGCATTATTGTGGCACTAGACAACGTATATAGACCAATTAAATCAAGGGCCTAACAGGAGCTATTGCCACACCTCTTGTCAGGGCAAGTTTCTCAGACACTCTAGGATAATTAGAGAGCTAGTCTGCCCAGAATTCATCAAAGACCATTAGGGGACCCTATTGTTTATTCCATGTTATTTTAAAGGACCAAGATATTTTGCCCTTTATAATTCCATTCTTAAAGAATAGCCATACTTTAAAGCTAGAAGGGATTCTAGCAATCAACTTACTCCAGTTTCTCATTTTACAGTAGAGGAGAATAACAGCACAAGTGTTATGGTAGATGAAAGTCACAGAGTGAGTGACCTACTGAGTGCTCTGCCATGTTGCACAGCCTTTGGATGCACAAATGTGGACGAGGCATTAAGGAACTTGATAAACTACACCTATATATTTGAGTCAGTCAAGTATTTGTAATAGTCAAGTATAATGTTAAAAAATTATTCAAGACTTGGAAATCAGAAAGGAGTACAGCATGTCCCTGCAATGTCAGTATGGAGTATTGTTTAAAAAGTCCACCCAAGGATTATTAAGTCTCTAGGGGAAGATACTTGAGTTTGAGTTTGCTGTTTAATATTGGATTTGACCCCAAACACTGTGAAGTTGCATATTAACTTATAGATTCCTGTTCAGTAGAAAAGAGCCCCAAAGGTTATGGTTTTGATGCCCTGAAGGATATTAACTACTTCTGTATCTAATCTGGTAATCTCATTCTAGTATCCTTTTTTGAAAAAAATTTAATGGCTACTTATAGGCATTTCTCAAAAAAGATTTTGAACCAGTTTTACTATTTAATTACTCCTTAATTAATGAGTTAGATAAAACTTTGATACAGGTTCATTCCATATTTGCATGACTCACGTTTTTGATGGTTTGAAAATTATATTCTGACAACATCCACTGCTACGCAAGTTATAAGTATCAAAGAAATGTACGCATAGACTTGAAGAATATGTCTGGAGAAAGCAGTGATCCCAAGTCAAAGAGAGAGGATCAGTCTAAGGTGGCCAGAAAAAAGAATCCATGAAGCACCAGACTTTATGAAAATGGAGGGAGCAGTATGAAGTGTGCCACTAGGACTAACATCTGAAAACAAAGGTCAAATCTTTTTATTCCCAGTTTTAAAGTATTAGTGAACTTCTAGAGTGTAAAACTATCTTATTTATCATCGCAGGCTAATGCACACAGCAGGCACCTACTTCATTTTTAAATAAATTTCACTGAAATGGATATAATACAGAGTCAAGATTCTTTTTTCAAATTAAAGAGAAAGTGTCAGAAACTTTCTATCTGACCTTCAGATTACTATTTCTTTGTTTATGGGCATATTTCTAGAATATTGCAGGTAGTACCTAAATTATATAAGTTATTCTGACTCAATCCCAAGGCTGACTAAGAATGCCTAAGAAGTCTCAACACTCTAAATATCATAACCTATATATGGAAAAGAGAATTAGACTGATTTGAGGCTTAAATCTTTGTTCCCTGCCAGGCAGCCAAATGATACTCAAGTTATTTTACACTGATGTCTCAAGGTCTACTATGTAAAAAGTAGTTGTCATTTTCCATGATGACAAACTATGAAAGGATTGAAAAATCTGCTGAGCTACCTGGCACGGGACTCACTGGGAATAATATTCACACAGCCTTC